ACCTTACCTTAAGCGTCAATATGTGACGACTTGGGAGTGAGAATGTGTAGCACAAACACATGGCATCCCACCACTATAGGTGGAGGAGCACAAGTTTCAAAGTAGATGGTATTCTGCAAAATCTGTTATGTAAAATCTCCATTTCACTGCATTTCCACCAGCTACTTTTGCTGCGGCCCAATTGTACTGAAAAGTGGGAATTTCCCACTTACAAGTTGTAAATTTAAGCTGGAACACACCTCCAGTGGGAATTCCCTCTCAGACTGTGGGAGAGTTCAGAATTATTTATTTCACATTTAGTCAGTTGTACATGTAGTGCTTTAATAAGAGGACATGTTAAAAAGCTGTTCCTGTACAGGAAATACCATATAGAGCTCAGTTGTTGTTTGTTAGCAGTGCTCAACTGTCGCAATGAGAATAACATGAAGATTAGTGTTTGACATTTCTGTGCTAAATGGAAAATTACAGTAGTTTTGCTATTTGCTGTTAGCTGATAAGCGGAACCATGTCCACCACTAAATTCTATCTCATGATTTAGTTTTTGTATTTCAGTATTTAAGTGTTTGTTATACATTAACAATAAGCAAACAGAGATAATTTACAAATGTTTCCTTCTACTTTAAGTATTACTGAAGTAACCTCACATGTGATCGGTGACATTTTCACCTCAAACATGACCATAAAAGTCTGCATCTCGTGGAGCAGGACTCATGTTCACAAAGCACAACAAGCCTTTCAAGGGTCTGACAAGAAGGACTCCTATCCCAAATGTCTCAAATACAGCATTAAAGCAAATGTGTTCAGAGTTTTATCACAGTAAAAACCATCAGCTGCTGTGGACTCGTACTGTGGCTGATAGATGGAGAAAATCCACACATCACCTATAAAAAGATTTAAAAAAAATTGAGTAAATTCTGTGAATCCAAAAAGGAGAATGGGATCTGTGATATTTTCCATCCTCACCCAACACAAACCACACGATCACAAATAAAACTGAAAGGTTCTCCTTGCAGGCTCTGGATCCTCTGAGGCGCTCCTGTAGGTAAGAAGGATTCTCCTCGTRGGGAAGAACCATGAGTGAAAGCATCAGCAGGGGAATAAACACCAACCTGATCAGGTAGATGGGGATGTTGGGCTGCTGAGGACAGTCCAGGAAATAGACAACACCTGCCAGCAGACGGTGAAGGTCAGAGAGGGTTAATCAAAGWTGGCAGCTCATCTTGTTGAGGGAATTAAAGGAGTTTTACCAAAGTAACATCGAGCCACAGCAAGGCCAATCCAGGAAATCACAACTACAACTGGTATGTTGAGAAAATAACATCTTACTTCTTTATTGGTGTTTAAATTAGAACAAGTTTCAACAGTTTGACTGTCTGAAAAGTGTTATTGCCTCTGTAGAAGATGAGTTGAAAATGTGAAGATTATTCAGATCACCCAGGTCGCAACAGTTAGACTGTTCAGCTAAACGCCAAGGCCACAGTTACAAAAAAGCAAAGAGCTCACGGGTCAAACATCCAGCAGTGATTGGAACAGTCTCCCTCTTTCTGTGCGGTCTGCCAGAACACTTATTGAGTCTCAATCTCTATTAAAGACCCATCTTTTTGGTTTGGCTTTTAACTCCAGAGAGCACGTGTAATAGCATAGTCTCACTCTCTCTCTATTTATTGATTTTTTTCTCCTTTCTGTTTTGTTTTTGAAGTTCTGATTGTTTTGCATGCGTTTAAATTACTATGTTTTTATTTTATTTTATGCTGTGCAGCACTTTGGTCGCCTTGGGGTTTGTAAAGTGCTATAAAATAAAGTTTTGATTGATTGATTG